CCCACGAGGTTATCAGTCGATGGCTTTTGAAGGGTTTGGTGTTAAAAATAGAGCTGGAAGGTCAGGATTCTCTTTCTGAGTCTGCATGTTGTTACTATGTAGTAACTGGTTTGAGAAGAGAGAGCGTCTCAAAAGCTAGCTCTAGCCAAGGTCCCTGCACTCTAATACAAAACAGGGCCAATGACAAGAAGGGACACCAAGCTATAATGAGATCTCCTCTGCTTTTCATCTGAACGTGACTGAAACAAGCGAATGGACTTTATCCCACACAACCTTCTCTCTGTTAGCAACCAAAGCTATGAAAAAAGTGATTACTGTGCAGCAGCACCGAAAAAAAATCAACCCCAAACCCCACCACTCTATGCTTCTGCACAAACACCATCAACGCTCTTACAAATGCACAAGGTCTGCTTGAAGGCCACCACTTCCTGAGTTCAGCTACGGAAAAAAGGGAGAGAAAGATATTCTTCTCTTCATCCTTTCTGCAATCAGCATGTACGGTAACTGCATCAACTGTACCATAAAAGCACAGTCTCACCCCACATAAAATGTTATGGGAATTAAATAAGATAAATTGAAAAATTCATATGAAATCAGAGAAGGTGTATATATATGGGTAGTAACATGAAACGTTATCTTTTCTTCATAACTTCTTTTGCATGTTGTACGTGGCTTCAGCAGAGTTAAAAAATGCACCTATCAACTGGGAATAGTTAATTCTTCGTATGAAAGGGAGACAGCAGTCATTTCTGAACATCACAGGACTTCCCAAAGAAGTGTAAATATTGAGATGTGATTAATGCAGTGCTGTTTGACCTGGGAAGGAACAGCATAAAAATAACGTTGGCATCAGGAAAAAGATATCTGGATTTGGGAAATTGCACTCCACTCTTTTGTACCACTTCTGGAAAGTCCTTTTGCATTTCTCTGCTACGATTTCCCATGCGTAAAGTTGAAAAGATGACAGATCCCACCTCTGGTGTTACCAGGATGACACCAGAACAGTTACATTTAGGAGAGGATGGAAACTCCCTGACTTGAGTGCCTGACCCTGAAGGGCAGCTATGGTGCCTTGTGATGTGTGCAGACATTCAAATCACCCTAAAAAAGGCTTGGCTGAGTGCAGTAAACACCTCATCAGCACAGCGTTTGGCAGAGGTAACACTGGATCAACGGGATACAAAGTGAAGCACCAAAATGACACATGCCACACCAAGCACACAGCCAGAAGAGAAAGAATTGCATTCACATGCTGTTTGGGTAATGAAATAATACAGCAAAACTCTGAGAAAGCAAAATGAATTTATAAAAAATGAAATGACAAAAAAAACCACTTTTTGCTCTCGGGGAGTTTCAATGCATATTCAGGGAAAAGTACTGCTATTGCATTCTGATGGTTGTGATTGCTTTTCTAATTCATCTCTTACATTCATTATCCATCACAACCACACTTGGAGCTTTGCTGCCCTCTGATCTCTGCCACCTTTAGAAGACCAGAGCCATAATTCAACAATTCTTCTCTAACTGATCTCCTAAAATACTAACAAAATGGTTATGTCTGTGTTTTCAAGAATAAAATGTTAGACGTGCCCGCTGAATAGACACAAGTATATCACACACTGCATAGATATATGTCAGCAGAAGAGCTCTGTGGGAAATGGGAAGAAAAAAGTAACCTGGGGAACTCAGTGAGAACAGCTCTATGACCACCCTTTCCTTATTCACTGAGCAGCTTGCTGCTGGAAGTACTGTCAGCAGCAGGATCCCACTTTCTTACATTCTTCCCCTAAACATCCACTGCTGGCTTCAGTCAAAGACAGGACATCTTACTAGAAGCACTTTTTCTCTTTCCTAAAATGACTCTTATGTTCTTGCTTAGTTAACCATTTTCTCATAATGATTTTTGAGGCCCTCCAGGCTGCAGTAACTTGTCACACACTGTACACACATGCTGTGCTAGTTCACACGCCTCCAGAAATGAGGTGTGGAAAACACTGAGAACAAATGCTATGTGGAGGCTGATTGATGCTGGTCACCACAAGCAGTACGCTGGTGAGACACAGTTCCTCTGTCACACAAGCAGCCTGGATGGCTCAAAATGTGCATGGCTTTTGAATAGGAGGTGCAGTTATGCAGTCCCTGACACACAGTTGTATGTGCATGTTGGCTCTACGAAAAACAAAGCAAAAGCTCCTCAATCATCTTCAGTTATTGATTTTTTACCACCTTGGACAGCTGAAGCATCTGCTTTGTCCTGCCAAGGATTGGGGTTATATCATAGAATCATAAAATCCCTAAGATCCCAAAGTCCAGCCCCAGCCCAGTGCCACATCTCCACAGCTCTGAGCACCTCCAGGGATGGTGACCCATCAATCCCTGGGCAGCTGTGCAGTGCCTCAGTGCTCTTTCTGGGATGAAATTCTTTTAAATATCCAACCTGGGTATGAGTTAAAGGCAAAAGTAAGTGAGGGTTTGAGTAGGAAAAAAGCATAAAACCACCTTCGAAGTGTCAGAATGAGTCAACCATTTGGGTGGAAAGAGGCACACTGCGGTGTGGGGGCCCTCTGTGGGTACATCAGCATTGCTGGACACCCACTGGGCTGAGCCAAAGGTAATGCAGTGGGAAGAGTGGCAGCATGGCCCACAGGTCCCCTCCAGTTTGGCAGCAGGTGTTGTGCAGCTGAGAGCAGAACAAGCTGACATCCTCAAGAGCCCCACACAGCATCCCCAGCTGATATCTCTATTGAAATGAGTCACCTATTTCAACAAACTCAAAACCACCTCAAAGGGAGGCATCAGCTCACCTGCTCACTCAGGCAGCAGATTTAGCTCCTCCACCACTGAAAGAACCCTTCTCCATTGAGACAGTCCTAGTTCTGCTGCACAGCCAAGGTTTGCAGGTTCCTCCTTCAGGTTTTGCGTCCTTCCAAGGGACACTAAAAGCTGGTGAGCTGGCCTCCCCTTGGAGTCAGAGTTCTGGCACAGCAGTTTCCTGGCCTCAACAGCAATGCTTATGGTCACTTCCTCAATGGAGAAGATGTTTCTGTGCTTTTGTCCCCTCACCCCGACACAAAAGGCAGAGCTTTTGGTTTTCCCTTTGTTCATTACTCCTGGGTCATGCACGGTGTGGACAGCAGAGCAAATGCAGGGAGCGAAGCACTTTGCTGGTGGAGGCAGTTATGGGATAAGCCGTCTGAGCTACAGGATTCACTGTTCCTCCCGGTGATCAAACATAGGTAGAAGCTGAGACAATGCAGGGCTGAAACTGTGTTTCTCATTTCCCCTTCAACCACGAGATGGAGCAACTCAATAACAAATGACTGCAGAGCCAAGAAATGTAGGTAGAAGGACATGGCATCGGGCTCTCCTGGAGGTCGCACGCAGTCCTGTGGGGATGTCGTGATGGCCCAAAGCCAGGATGCGATCCGTGGCTCGGGGTGAGCAGAAACAAAATCCAAAAGCCTCTAGGCCTCCTCCAGCCAAGGGGGATAGAGGGGAAGGTTCCTGTTCCTGTTGTTCCTGTGCCACTCATTGAAGCCCTCCAGCAGGACCACATGGCTCAGAGATGAGCTCAGCCCCTCATGGTGATCCCAGACAAGCACTCCAGCAGTAGACCAGGACCATCCTAAGGCTTTGCGCATTGCCCTGTTGAGGTATCTGCTAAACAGCCTGGTGTTCCCTACTGCTGTTCCCTTCTGGCTGGGTCCCAGAGATTCATCTCCAGCACAGAGCTACAGCAGCCCTTCTGAAAAAAGGGAAAATCCAGGGGTGGGGACATGGAAGGGCAGGGGAGAGGTGAAAGAAACTGAAAATTGAGATGTTGAAGGGCGTTTGAGGGAAATCAAGTAAGAAAGCAAGAGGACCATAGCAGAGAATGCTCTCTCTTCTTGGGTAGAACAATTATTTTTCTCCCTAATTAGACTCTGATTTAGATAACCAGCACCTTGAACTGGCTGGTGCAGCTTGGCACTGCTAGGGGAAGGTCAGCCCCAAAAGTGAGCACAAGGAACCAGCAGAGCCTAACCTGCTGCCACCCAGGGCTGCCTGCGTGACCTAAAGGGCAAATCTGTGTAGTGGTCACAGAGAAATGGCAAAGATCTCAACACAAGTCAAAATGTGTGTGGAACAGCTCCTTCGTTAGGAAAAAGCAATGAGGTGACACACGTAGGATCAGGTGATCCTTTGCTCACTGGTGGCATCAGTGACGAGCAAAGAGGTGCAAGATTTGAGCAGACCAAACAATCAGACTGCAAGACAAGAGACAGCCCACCCACTCTTGTGCTCCTAGTGAAGAATCACAACCTATCAGCATAAGATAAAGGCCCATAGTGTGAAAAGAAAGGCACCTCGCCTGCCCGCAGCTTCCTCGCCCCTGCATCACAAGTTGCACTATTAATCAACAGTCTGGGAGGTCGTCATGGACTATCCCAGCCCTTCTATATGTTACTCACACTGTTTCATTTCCCCTTTGCTGTCATCCCTCAGCATCACTTTTTCCCACCCATTCAGCTTCACACGTTCTCCAAGTGAATTTGCACCACCTTCATGCCGTCCTGGCCATTCAGCTACAGAATCCTCCCTAAAAAACTTGCCAGGATATTTGCTGACAAAAAAGCAATCCTTATAAACACTGGGTATCAGAACATCTGCAAACAAGGGAGCGGAGATCTGTGATGGCTGGGTTCTGTTCCACATCCCAGCAGCCCCAAATTTACCCCCATCATCCTTATTTCCCCTTTTAGTAAAGGGGATTGCAAAAACACATACAATGGGCAAAAAAAAAATAGTTTTCCTATTTCTCCCTTAACAAAGTCAGCATCTGACACTGTTCATAGGTAAATTCCCTGCTTCTCAGCAGTAAAGCAGATGTAAAAGCAACCCTTTTCCTTTGTTCCTTTTTTCTTTTTCATTTCTTTAATACCAACTCAAAATGAACATTTAAAATCACCATTAAAAACTGGTTATCTCTTTTTCATTTCTGGTAGCACGAAAAGGAAGAGGCACTGACAGCAGTAGCTCAGGATATAGGTTAAAGCAGCTAACACTCTTGTAGAAAGAAGTCACACAAAGCTCTGCAGGGCCAGAATTTCCTCTCTGTTAATGGAAACTGCTCTGAATGGGTGACTCACGGAGATGTGAGCCCCATAAAGCAAACTATTTACATCCTCAAATGAGCTCTGTGACGGATCACCTACATAGCACATATGCGTAGACAGAGTGGGGATGGGTTGCTGTAATGGAAGTATGTGATGAAACAAAAAGCAGCAGCACTTCGTGGATTCTAACATCCAGACTGGCTGTTTCTTTGCACGCAGCTCACTCCACAGCCTTCAAAGAACACACAAGATTCAAGAATTCTACAAGCCAAGGGGAGCAAGTCAACAAGCAGTGCTAGAGATAGCCCAAAGGTGAGTTGGCAAGAGACAGTATTACATTACAGGGAAATCTTACCTTAGAAACCTTCTTCTTGCTACATGATCTGAAAACTAAATGTACTTTGTGTCATCTGTTTTGCTTATATTTTTTATGTTTACTTGCTGGGGTTTTTTGGTTTGTTTCTGAAGAGAGAACGAACCAGCCTTTGGCATCTTCTCTTGTTTAGAAATCTATACATCAAGCTAGACTGAAATGTCTTTTAATCGTCACTAGACCCGTACCAAGTAAAATTTTGCATAAGAAGCTGAAATTTTACTTTCTTATTTTATTTTCCTAGACCTAGAATTTCCTTTGACACTCTATTATTTAAAACAACAACAACAACAACAAACACTGAAGGAAAAAGAAGGGTCTAAATGAAATCTTCCAGAAAGGCAATGCAGCAAAGAACTTTCTCAATACTAATAACTCTTCAGGAACTCCTTAACCAACTTGTCATCCTTTTGGCTGTCAGCAGTCAGTTCCCTCCCAGCATTAAAAGGTCTGGCAGTGCTTCATGCAAGGACGGGGACCCCGCAGGAGAGCAGCACGCTGCGGGCTCAGGACTCCATTTTGTTCGGTGCAGTGCCTCTGCACAGCTTCATCTCATCAGTGTAACCCCTCATCTGTTGTAACTCCACCTGAATCTGTTGCCTCAGGGGCCCAGTGCCACTGCCAGCAAAGTCCCAAGCCCTGCTGATGCAGGACGGCTGAGCTCCCAGGTGCTAAACAACCCGCTGCATCACTGGGGATGCTTCTCCCTTCCAGCCACTCAGATCCCAAAGTGCTTTTCAACGTCAGGCTTTCCTGTCCTGTTGTATTTGGATAAGGGATTTTCTTTGTTTTCCCTCAGTTTCTCACATACAGCAGCAGAGCTGCGCTGCTGTCAGGGCTGCTGCCCCACTGCTGAGCCATGCCCCCATGTCCTTTATGGTGCTCTGCAGCAAAGGAGGCTACTGAGCGCAGAGCCAGCAGCACTACCAGATGTAGGGACGCACATACCTGGGCGGGCAGTCTGAATAAAGCCTGTACCTGCTCCAGCAGCATGCAGGCTGCACCTGACCCAGCAGAGGGATGCTTTTTGGCACCCACAGTCATGCCAGCAGCTGTTCTCCTCATCAGGACTGAGTTTCTGGGACTGTTTTTCTCATTTCTGTAATGTAACCAAGAGCTTACAGAACTGTTTACCCGGCATCAGCATGTCCTTTCAGAGCAAACTACCAACCTGCTCTTCCTTCCTAATAATTACTAGTTTTTATGCAAGAATTCTTTTTCCACTGTGCTGATCTTTGTCTCAAACTACAGGGCAAGAGAGCTTACCTCTGAAACGCCAGGGAAGCGGCTTGGTCTGCAGAACAGGAACATACACTGTCCACCTGATGACAGGCTGCCAAATCCAAAATGAAACAGCATCAGTGTCAGTAACTCATGTGTGAAAAGCACCAGGTAAAGTAACAACAGTTACAGGGAGGCAGATGAAGGTGGTTTCTGGGCTCTAACAAAAAGATTTTTTAAAGGGTTTATTTACAGACAACATCTGCTGTGAAAGAATTGGCTGCAAGAAAGAACCAGGTATCCCTGTGCATTTGGATTTGTAAGTGATTCTGACAGCAGAAACCAATGAGAGCTTTCCTGATCCTTATCAGGATAGCCTGAGGGCAGGGTCCAGCCTTCTTCTAACAGAGGATTACTTCAGGACCCCTGCTCAGACCTGCCTACCTTGATATTTTTAATCCCCTCTCAGGGAGAAGAAACCGCTGCACATTTGCTGCACTCTGCAGCAGACAGCAGTTTACCAGCTGGGTAAGTCTGGCTAATTTAAGTAAATGTTTGGGTTCCTAAGTTTCATTTTTCTTCTGAAGACTTAGTCTCTACAGGTTGGGAAGCCAGCACACCGAGAAGAAAAATTGTCTGCAGGTCTGCAAACACTTACAGATGTCATTGGCCTTTGTATCAGGTTTTAGATGTGGTCTTCAGTCTTCCTTGTGGTGCAGCTGATTTTCTTCTCTTTCAGTATACTTGGAGACATGAATGACACCTGTACCAACAGCAGTATCAACCCCAGAGTAGAACTGTTCCAGCTGATCATGTACACTCCCACATTTATCCTGGGATTGCTGTTCAATGTGATGGCCCTCTCGTTCCTGTTTTTTCCAGCTAAAAAGCTGTCAGAATCTACAGTCTACCTGATAGCCCTTATTTTCCTGGATACGTTGCTGCTGTTCACTCTTCCTTTTAAAATCGTTTCCTATCACCTTCAGAACAAGTGGAAATTCGGGTCTATATTTTGTTCCATCTTGGAGAGTCTTTACTTTATAAATATGTATGGCAGCATCCTCATCTCCCTCTGCATCTGCGTAGACCGCTACATCGCAATCCAGCACCCTTTCATGGCTCCCATCCTGCGCTCCACCAAGAAAGCTACTCTGGTCTGTGCTGTCATCTGCCTGAGCATCTCGGCTGGGACTGTGTCTACTTCCCAGTTTCATGAGGAGAGCTACAACACCACCTCATCCTGCTTCCACAACTTCTCCAAAAGCACATGGGAAAACACAGGCCTGATAATCACCCTGGAGATGATCTTCTTTGGCAGCATGATGGCCATGGCCTTCTGCACCATTCAGATCGTCAGGTGTCTGAGAAACCACAGGAAATCAGAGAACTGCCAGACACACATGACCAGAGCAGAGAAGGTAGTAGTGACAAACTTTGTCACGTTTTTGGTCTGTTTCACACCTTACCACGTGATGTTCTTCTTGTACTTTTTGGTGAGAAATAGCATCATGCACGTCCCTTGTCACACTGTGCTACGGGACATCCTTCAAGTCACGCTTTGCTGGGCTAATCTGAACTGCTGTCTGGATGCAGTCTGTTACTATTTTGTTTTAAAGGAGTCTGCAGAAGGTTCGTTGCAAAACAAAGTGAGAAATCACCAAGAAGAAAGCTTTGATCCGCACACTGAACGTTAGTTACTTCGCTCAACAAGTGGAGATGCTACCCAGTAAGGTACAGGACCATGAACTACTTTTTTAAATCATTTACTTTAAATACTCAAATGTGAAAATATTTCATAAAAAGAACAGAACTGAGTCCATTCTCAGGGCTCCTAGCCTATTTGCTTCCCTTCCACAGTGCCACAGTGCTTTGTGTTGTCATTTATGGATAAAAAGAATTGAAATTATTTCTTGTAAATAGTGATGCATATCTCTTTGGATGTGATTCCCTTTTACTTCGGGGAAAAAAAAAAAAAAAAAGTATTTAGTAATAGATGGTAGCATATTCCATGTCCATACCACACCTGCAATCCTCCAGGCCTTCAGTCACTACAGCCTTGGGCTGCAAAGAAGCTGAGACATGGAGTTCATGGCGAAAAGCTTCAGATTAAATCCTGTTGCCCCTCCTGCCCTGATCATACATGCTTATGTTATAGACTGAGTTCCAGATTTCCCTGCTAGCTCTTCTTACAGGCTTTTCACATACTCATTCCTTCCTGGTTGGCTACAAAAGTAGTTTCATGCACAGAGCCAAACCAAACAAGACATGCAATAAAAAGCCTGAGCCCAGTGCAGCAGCAAACAGATGACAACACCCCAATTCCCAGGGAAGTAAGGTAAAAACCCCAAAGCAGCAGCCAGCACCATAGGACCTCAAACAACTTTTTGTACCTTGGAAGAAGATGAGCACTATCACTTCCCAAACAAATGAGGCAATAAAAAAAATCCACTGACAGAAGCCTCACATACCAATCAGTTACTTCTTATCAGTGCTCATAGGCATCCAGATAGCCTGAATGACGAGGTGGTGCCAACCTGAGAGAGGCATCTCAGTGCCTGGGGTACACTGCTGCTTCCAGCACTGCTCTGTAGCAGCCAGTCCCTTTCCCATTGAGAATGATGACAACTGAAGCAGTTAGTGTTCATATTCACATAGAGCTGGATCCTTGCAATATTATCTCCCAGACAGGGATACTAATTCCAGCCTCTGCACTGACTTTTCTCTGTATGTTTGTGAGAAGGATTATGCACAAACCAAGAACTGACTTCCTCCTGAGCTCCACTTTGTGTGTGGAGAAAGTGAAAGTTTATGATGATGTCGCCACATCTTTGTACGAGATCACACTAAAGAAGTGCAGTTGCTGAAGAAGGAAATGCAAGCCTGATGTGGACATAAGTATCTTCCATTTCCTCCCTCAGTAAAAATTCAGAAAATCTAGCCAGCTTCCTTGCCAGCAGACAGCAAATCCTCATCGCTTCCTTGTTCACAGCTTACCCTTAGCTGCACTGCAATAGACACAAAGGCTTTATCACTGAGATTTCAGACTCCTTTTGGAAGCATGGTTTATGTATAACAGAAGAAAAGCAGTGCTGGTGCAGAAGACTTAGCAGTGGTTAAAGTGGACACCAAAGGGGGTGATGACTTTAACCAATAATGCCTGAATATAGGAACAGAGATTGTGTCAGTTCCTCATTAGGCAAAAAATGCCTTAGTATAACGGGAAACTGATTTCAATTGCATTTCTGCAGCCCAAGGCAGCTCCTCCTCCCAGACAAGGAGTGTGAAATAGTTTATTTTGCTTTGCAAGTAGAGTGCTGCAATGGGCACAGGCAGAAATCACGCTTCATTCAGCAAAGCTGCTGCATACTCTCTTACTGACCGCATTTACTGGTGATGGTGATGTTATCAGATAAAGTGCCATAAAGATACAGAAATGACACAACACAGTGACAAGAGCACTCCCATTGCTGACCTTGCTGTGACAGAGTCAGAGACACACACGGCCCTGGACACATCTGGTATTGGAGGGAGGATGCTCTGCCTCTCACACCTGACCTGTGCAGCCTCCTCCTGGATTTGTAACTGAGCACTGTGCAGCAGTACAATTCAGTTGAGTGCAGCAGCTTCCTTGCTCAGCTTCAGAGTTTAGAGGCACTGATTTCATGAGAAAGGCAAAGACTTTTCCCTCCACTGAGAAACTTCTAGCAATAGACTCCAATGACTCTTTGTATTTTAAATACTGTGAAAGGCAAACTACACCTACAACATCTCTGTTTATCCATCATTTCATCTCACTTATTCTCCTTACTCCAATTTATGTACACTACTGCTTCAAAAGGGTGACATTTACCACATTTTCTAACATGACAAAACGGTTGCTGTTAAGAATCCCAACAGCTGTTCTGTGAAGGATCACAAACATTTCCCAGGAAGAAAAACACCAAAGAATGTAAAATTTTATGTCTGCTATATACCACAGATTCCTATTAATCCTTGTCTCCGTTCCAAGAGATTAAGCTGGTTTTATACCTGTGAGCAAATATTGGCAGTTTAGAGTTCTAAACGTGGCCAGTCAGTTGTTCATCTGAAACTAAGCATTACAAACCCAGGAAAATCCAGTTTAGACTGCACTTCAGAGCACATCAATGCAATCCTGACCATTCCCTGTTAAGTATTAACTTTGTGATAACAAAACCATCTCCCAGGGTGACATCTAACCCAGGCCCACTCGGCCAGCCAGTCTGAGACAATGGAGGACAGTATTTGAATTAGGTTTATGCATGAGAAGTTGCAGACAGCAGAGACCAGTCTGACTTCAGCTGTGCTACTAGGATCGAAAACATCCCAGCTGGAAGGGGGCAGAAATAAATGAATGGGACTTTCTGCAAACCAGAGTTAGTGGAGCTGTAAAAGCCCTGTGGATAGGTTTGTTTCCCTCATGTAGAGTGAAATAAGTTAGTATTAATAATGAATATGTTTATGCAGGCCATTTTATATAAATCATGAGAAAGCAAAAGAGGCTGAGCTTTGAAATACACATCCTTGATCTGACCTCCAGGCTCTTGCAGAAACTTCTGCCTGCATCTGCCCAGCGAGGACCATGGAGCAGAACCCTGCTGCACAGTGAGACATGTTCACTGCCACTTGAGATGCTCTGGGGTGCCCCACTCAATCACCCATTCCAAGTTAAATAGGGATGCGCTCTACTGGGCTCTTCTCACTTCTCACGGCCCCTCACTGCTAGCCTGCCACAAACCCCCAACCCCTGAGGGCATCACACACAGCACAAGGACTCCTAAATCCTACCCTGCTCCCTGAACTTCAGGTTGTGTAGCTTGCAGAGCAAGGCAGCCAGACTCCCATATCGAGAGCTAATTTATTTGCTTCAGATGAAGAAGTTGTTTTTCCAGAATTCATCTGCATACATTCAAGAACCTTATTTTCAGTGCCCTTCACCATTCTTACAGTCACATCGGTCACATGAGGTCTACACTCCTGCTCTCACCCAGTGCTTACATGTCCTTTGAACACAGATGTGAACAGAACCATGTAGGTCACCCTCTCTTATTAAAGTTTTGACAAAACTGTCTGGGCACAAATTATTTTCCCAGGCAAATAAAAAATGTCAAAGCAGCAAAACTTAAAGGTAACCCTGAAGGAGCTGGGAGAATAGAAGACCTTTGCAGATCAGTTTGAGGGCTCCCAGAAAAGTCTTGTGCCACACTGGTTACCCATGAAGTCAGAACAAAGTGTTGCTAGGCAAGTTTCCCAAATCCAAGGAGATGAAGAAAAGGCAGTCCAAGGCTGCAGAAGGTGACAAACCATTCTATGGAGGAGAACCACAGTGCAGGTACCCTGCTGGAGCAAACAGAGAGCAGATGGGGAATTCACTGATGAAACTTCCATTTCTTTAGTGCACCCTACTCTCACTGCAAACCACATTCCATCAACTTCTGCTGCACCTGATGTTAGAAACCCTTTTCTATTTCACAGTCAGCAGCTGTGGAAATGAAGCCAGGATTGTAGCCTGGAGGGTGCGATTGAATCCCCAACTGTGCTCACTGCAGAGACTCCAATGGTCAGCCTCCCAGCAAGGAATAACTAATAGGGATAGATCAGTTCTTGAGGAAAAAAGGCCTTGCTTTCATGCAAATGGTGTTTGTTAGGAAGAACAATGAAGGAGAATAAAGAAAGTTAGAGATGAAGCAGCAGAATCCTTCAGGGCTGAAGGTTCTTCAGGAGAATCTTTAAACTGTAGACAAAATTTCAGAGCAGTTTGGGATTTGCTTTTGCAGCCCTGGGTGGAAGTTGGTAGACACAACCCAAAGCGGGTGTCAGGTTTGCTTTAGCTTTCTTTTTGTCACTTCACTCCTATTCATAAAGACGATGTCCAACATCTGTTACTAAACAGTTAAAGGAGATAAAAACTTTTAAGAAAAAATTAACCAAAGAAGGAAATCAAAGCAAAGAGCAGAGGGGTGGTAAATTAACGGCAGCTCTCCTCAGCAGGTGCCCGCTCTGGAAGCTGCTGTGGGAGATCTCAGCAGCAGCACCAGTGCCAGGAGAGGGATCCATAGGGATCCATAGGGACTGTGGTGGCTGTGGGAGCGTGCAGGCATCGTCCAGTAAATCGGCGGGAAAAACTCCCGCCCTTGGGCTGCCACAAAGAGAAAACATCAGGAGAAGGTACGGGCAAGCAGCAGAGCAGCGACAAGGGAGCAAGCAATGCAGCTGCTGGGTGCTGTGTGGCCTGACAGCATGCTGCCTTCTGGTGCTGCCCTCCGCCACAGGGCTTTGTTCAGATGCAAAACAAAAAAAAATCCATGAAAATCAACACCCTCCCAACCCCAAAACAGCAATGAAAAAGAGCAATACCCAAATATTTCCCCACATATCCCATTGCCTTTGGGATTTGCTTCCACGAGGAGTCCCCGCTGCCCGTTGGGCGGCCGTTCCCTGGGCAGGCTGCACCTCAGCATGGTGGCTGGAGGGCTTCTTTTGTGTGTAGACAGCAAGGGATTGCTCTCCTTTCTCCTCACCTGCAAAATTTAAGAACAGCTGCCATCAGAAGAACGGCAGTACTTTTAAAGCTTTCCTTCACCCAGTGAGGATTTTGCACAGAAACACTGTCTTGCCTCACGACAAAGCACACCCCACTGATCCGCATTTCTGCAAGGAAAAGAGGTGGCCGGAGACACTACAGTTCTGGTTTGAGCTTCCCCGCTTACTTCACACTTGGATGAGCACTGGGACGCTTACACAAGCAGATTAAAATCTGCACATGAGGAGGATCTGGGCATGAGGACACAGGTGCGTGCCGCCGTCCCACCGCCATTTGGGACACCTGTGGCAGCCCCACACCATTGGTGCAGGAGCTGAGCAGCTCTCGGCCCTGCTCTCCAGCTTGATGTTAATGCGAAACTGTGGGGAA